AAGGAAGGAAGGAAGGAAGGAAGGAAGGAAGGAAGGAAGGAAGGAAAATGGGGGGATGGAGGAAAAAGGGGTGATAAAGGAAGGAAGGAAGGAAGGAAGGAAGGAAGGATTCAATGTTTTCACGTACCCCCTGCAATGCATTCACTGCAAAAACAATCAAGAAATAAGTAAAAATGTCTTAAATTAAGTGTATTTACCATTAATTTAAGTAGGTGAATGAGATGATTTGCCAATAGAATGAGTATTTCGACTTTTGAAATGAGATAAATAATATTCACTCGAAATCAGACAATGAAATTATTTTTTGTTATTTTAAATGTTAATCGTTTTGTTCCATTGGCAAAGTGTTTTATTACCTTCTTAATTTAAGAACAAATGCACTTTAAGAAAAAAAAAAGCCTTATGTGGATTTCGATATTTTCCTGTGTTGGCGGACCACTACACTGCAAAAAAATTATTTTTTTCTTAAAGTGTTTTCTCTTGAATTGAGGAGGAAAGTGAGATACTGCAAATGGAACAAGACTACTTACATTTAAAATAATAATAATAAAAAAAAGATTGTTTTGTTTTAGGTGCATATTATTTAATGATCTTATTCTAAGAGTGAAAATACTCATCCCATTGGCAAACTATCTCATTCACCTACTTAAATTAAGGGTAAATACATTTAGTTTAAGACATTTTTACTTATTTCCAGATCGTTTTTCCAGTGCAGGGGTACCAATACCCCTGTTTGGGAATCACTGGTCTGCAGTTATTAAAAAAAAAAGAAAACAGGATATGTGATTTCCTGCAATCAACAGTTACATTTTTATTACAAAATATCCCAAAACCCTAAAAACAAAGAAATATTAAAAATCACATTTTAGCAGATACAAAAGCCAGATAAGAGTCTTAAACAAATAGGATTTTCCTCAGAGGCAGTTTGATACTAGATTTAAAAAAAATTCTTAAAAACCTTAGAAAGTTTTTATTCTTAAAACTTGAAAAAAGTTTTAAAAAATCTTTTTCATATACATAAAAAGTAATGCTGTCCAGAGAAAAACTTAAAAAACATGTATCCATGAGTTCAAAACATCTGAATACAATAAAGAAACATGAGAATCCAGAGCAGAAATAACCTCAATAAGGACAAAACTGATCTTCAAATCTTCTAAAGATGTTTTATCTTTTCTATTCCTTTTTCTTTCAGGTTGATCTTCTGTCACACTAGTAATAGGATTCTTTCAGCTCCATAACCAGACCTAAAGGAACTGGAAATAGATTTTCTGCTTTTTTTTTTATTAATAAACAGAAATTAAACACGAGTTCTTAACCCTAACTTGCAATGATCAATCTTGGAGTCATTTATTGTACTTTTTTTTCTCCACAAAAGAAGCTATAACTTCTACAGCATTCATTCACATTCTTAGCAGAATTATTGATGAATCATGCAAAGAAATTCCATTTAAGCAACATTTAAAAAAACATCCACAATAAGACGTTATTTCCATACAACAAGTGCAAATATGATTTTTTTAAAAATACCCACATCTTCCAAAAAACATGTATTCTACAGTAAAGAACCAAACATGTGGTGAAGATGGAGAGTCTTCCTCTATGCCGAGGTTTGAAAGTAGAGAAGCTTTCGTAGGAAGTTGAAATTTCCAGGCATCTGCTTGTAAAGGCCTTTTGCAGAGTTTTGGGCAACCTCATTGTTGACCTAAAAAACAAGCCGTAAATAATTGGAGATTATTTAAAAAGGTGTTGATAGAAGCCGGTGGTACAGCAGAGGAACTCACCATCATCAGCATGGTGACCAAGTCATCAGTGGCTGCATTCTCCTCCAGGATGCGATCCAGTGTTTCGATGTACCAAGATCCTGCCTGAGCGTCTCTCCAGGCGACGTAACCTGTCATCGTCAAAAAGCTGCTAAAGCTCCTGTCACACATTGACCATTTAGACCAGCGTATGCCTGACGTACGGAAATCTGGCCAAACGCTGCCGTATGTTGGATAAGTTATGGGTCAGTTTTTCATTCATTTCAGTTCAGTTTATTTATATAGCGCCAGTTAACAACACATGTCATCTCAAGGCGATTTACAGTTCAACCAGATCATCCAATCAAATTGATTCAAAGTTTTCTATCTAAGGAAAACCAGTTGATTATATCGACTCATTGACTCGAAGCCAATCCCTCACACTAAGCATGCTTGTAGCGACAGTGGAGAGGAAAAACTCCCTTTTAACAGGAAGAAATCTCCAGCAGAACCAGGCTCAGTGTGAGCGGCCATCTGCAGAGTCCGGGGCTCGGCAACCTGCGCCTCTGGCGCCGCATGTGGCTCTTTAGCGCCCCCTGGAGCTTTTTTAAAAATTTATGAAAATCAAAATTTTTTTTTTATATGGTGTACAGGAGGTCAAACAAAAATTTATTATGTTTTCCAATGCTGTAAACATTTGTATAATTAATAAATTTAAACAACAATTTGCGTCATAGACATAGAGATCAGTGGTCATATCTTCCAACCAGCGCGGCGCGTTGCCAGGCAAAAGGGGACCATCGATTCCAAAGAGAAAAAAGGAAGATGAGAAAAGAGGATTTAAAGAATTGACTGAATCATTTGCTTTCATTATCAATGCGGAAGGATTGCCTGCATTTTTGCTTTGTAATGAGAGGTTGCCAAAAAAGTAAAAGAAAAATTTGGAAAGGCATTTCCTAGCAGACATGACGCTAAATCTTCTGCGACTGCAAACATTTTTTCTTTATTTTTCTTTATTTCTTTTTTTTTTTTTAGCGGGCGGTAAACGGAAGCTTGGTTAATACCGCAATCAAAGACATGGCTGCCCCCCTCAGGACACTGGTTTGTGACATTTCCACTGCTGTGCGTCCTGCATAAGTTAGGCTGTCGTTGGACATAAGGTCTGGACTCGTTATGAATCCTCTAGGTATACGCCCAATATTGATAAAATACATAGAAAGTTCAGAGTATGCCAGCGTTTAGGAGATTCTGGGACGTCAGGCGTAACGCTGGCTGAATCGTCAAGGTGTGACAGGGGCTTAAGCAGGACAAAAATCAGGCCGTTATCATCGGACTTTAAACGAAGAATTACCTGGGAAAGTAGAGTAGCACACCAGGATGTCGCTGGGGCTTGGCAGCGTCACTCTGGCGTCTACCTCATCAGTCAAAGAGTCGCTGCTGGACGACGTCGGGATGGCATCCGTCTCATCATCCTCCCCGCCGACGGACAGGGAGGCTTCCTCAGGAGAAATCTCAAATCCTATGTCTTTCTCATCTTTAAGACATGAAAGAAAACTACGTTCTGACTTCCGACTTTACATCAAATGAACTCCTGGTTCGTTGTTGACTGCTGTACCTCCTCCACAAGCTTGGATGAAGAACAGTTTGGGTTTCCCTTGCAAAGAAGGGCAGTTCTCTCCTTTGAGGTAGTTTGTGATGTTCTGAACTGTGATGTGCTGTCCATCTACGCCGTACACGGCGCCAGGGAAACGCTTGTGAGTCACCTGCAGATAAAAACATCAGAACAAACGTCCTTACCTGTCCGCTGTATTTAGAAACCAGCAGATGGTGAGATAATCCTGCTGATTTCTTAAAGGACTCTGATCAGTCCTCTTAAATATTTTACAAACTGTGGGCAAAAAAGTTTATGATTTATACTTATATTCTTTGAAATTCAAGTGTTTTATCCTTGTTTTTTTGGGGGGTCTCTTGCATTTGGGAATCATCCAAAACATGTTAAAATCTTGGCCTGTGAAGCAGCCTTTACAGTCAGGAGAATAAGTATTCGAACACCCTGCTAGTTTGCAAGTTCTCCCACTTAGAAATCATGGAGGGGTCTGAAAATGTCATCGTACAGTAGGTGCATGTACACTGCGAAAGAGATCCAGAAATCACAATGTATGATTTTCTGTTTATTTGTATCATCTGGCTGCAAATACATATTTGAACACCTGAGAAAATCTATGTTAATATTTGGTACAGTAGCCTTTGTTTGCAATTACAGAGGTTCTATCTTTCCTGTAGTTTTTCACCAGGGTTGCACACACTGCAGGAGGGATTTTGGCCCATTCCTCCACACAGATCTTCTCTAGATCAGTCAGTTTTCTGGGGTGTCGCTGAGAAAAAAAAACAGAGTTTGAGCTCCCTCCATAGCATCTCTATTGGGTTTAGGTCTGGAGACTGGCTAGGCCACGCCAGAACCTAGATATACTTCTTCCAGAGCCACCCCTAAGATATCCTGGCTGTGTGCTTCTGGTCATTGTCATGTTGGAAGACCCAGCCTCCACCCATCTTCAATGCTCTGACTGAGGGAAGGAGGTTGTTCCCCAAAAACTGGCGATAAATGGCCCTCACTTTCCTCCTCAGTTAAAAAAAAAACGAATTAATTAGCATTCAACTTTTGTTATGTAATTCTATTAAGATTTGCTTGGAATGGTACTATTTGCAGCCTAATTGGTTTAGGAGGAGACAGAAAACGGGCAGACTGACCTCGGTCCCATGGGAGAGCATGATGACCACACAGCAGTCGTACGAAGAGTGATCCATTCGAGACAACGCTGACAGTTCATGTTTAATTTGCTGAAACGAGGAGGAGAGTTAGCGGCGGCTCCTTCGTATATCAGAAACAGGAGCAGAAGAACAAACTCACTCTCTGTCTCAGGTTGGTCTTGACTTCCACGGTAAAGTTCATGGATTTGAATCGTCTCTCCAGCTTCTCACAGTCGACGTTCGAGCCTTTGCGATGGCTGAGCCGAGAATCCAGTTCAAACTCCACGTTGTTTATGATGAGGCAGTAACCGCATGGGTTGGAATCCATTTTATAGCACTGATAGATGAGACGGATAGAACAAAATAACAACGTGACTATAAATGATATGATTTACCCAGAGAACGAGCAGAAGGAGAACATTTGTGATGATGAACTGCTCATTACCTGAAGACTATCCCGACGTGTTCTGCCTTCAGGTCTTGGTTTAAAGTAATCCTTCTCAGGTGCTGCAGTATTAATTATATGGATATATTCATGTGTTAGGTATTGAAATGCAAAAGTATTAAAGCTCAAGAGTTTTGGATCAGCTGAAAATGTTCTAAGTCTATGATTTGCTAATTTACAGGTACATAAGCGAAAGTGCAAAATTAATTTACAATAATTGGATGGATTATTAATAGTATTACAGTATCCACTGCTTATCCTCTTTTATTTTTATTCTTTTTAATTACAGTATTTTCCGGACTACAAAGAGCACCTCACCATAAGCCGCCGCCCACTATTATTTATTTTTATTTAACTGGAAATGTACATATATAAGCCACACCGAGGTATAAAAGCCAATTTATGCTTCTGACGCATAGCCCCTACAACCTTTAAATCCGTATCAGTGTATGAAAACGCCCCCCCACCCAGAGGTTCTGCAACCGTCGGCGTGCACCTAAAAAAAATCCTGACTACGAGTTGGACGGCTGCAAACCAGCGCAGAACTATAGCGGAAGTGCGCAGACAGAAAGCAGCTGTGATTGGTCCTTGGTTTGCCTTTCCGGCTGTCTGTGTCGTCGTTCTTCTCGATTCGGGGCGCGCCATTTTTAAAAACCGACAAACAACTACAATGGACAACTACGAGGAAAGGTTAATCGGTCTTTTTCCTGACTTGGACTCCTTGTACTCCATCTGTTTTTGGCTGATGTGTACCAACCTTTCATGGGTTTTATTTATTCAGTTTTTTAAATTAATGTAGGAGCTATTTCTCCATTTTTAGTTAAATCTTAGAATTTGGATTATTTCTTTTGATTTGTTATTTAGAAAATGATTTGTTTAGTTATTCACTTAATTAGTTAATTAATTTTAGCTTGGGATGTGGGTGTTTCAGAGGATAAATAGGGAGGTCTTAGGTAGCTCATTATGCAGGTAGGTGGTCATTTGGTTCTCAGTTCTCAGTTTCCAGCCAATCAATCAAAGAACAGGTGCAGGAATCAGAGTGAGAGCAATAGAAGAATCCTGTTTGTCTGAACGGAGAAATAAAACAAGCAAAGAACTAGATTTTGACCGTTTTTTGATCTTTTTGGACTGTGTAAGCCAGAATCCACGGTGCATCAGGTGGCTGTTTGAGTTGAATTCATCTTTTGCTTTGATCACCTTTAAGTCTCAAGTTTTTTTAATTGTGAATTTTAGTTTTGTACAAATAGTCACTACAATAAAGAATCGATACTTGACGTCAAGAATCGATGCGGTAGATCACAAAAATTAGAATCGCGATGCATCGTCATGATGATTATTTTGCACACCCATAGTGTATATAGTATATAGCTATGTACTTTATATTTTATGTTTTATATTGTATATAGGTATAGATTCTGTATACATATCTAGTTTGTCTGCATCTTCAACACCAAATCAAAGTCCTTGTAAGTTCAAACCTACTTTAAACTAAACTTGATTCTGATTACAGGAAAATGTTTTGTTTAATCCTTTAAAAAAAAAAAAACTCAGATAAACTTTCAAATGATCCCAAACTTTTGAGCAGTGTTGGATCTTAATGTGGGCGCTTACCTGGACTGGGAGACTTACTGGGAATCTCCACAGGACAGATGGGGACAATATCTATTTTTTTAACCTCAATTGGAGATTCTGTAAAACAAAGGAAAAAGTGAGTAGAGTGTCCCATGATTGAAGGAAGGCGTAATGGTGAGAACACTACTGGTTTCATCTCACTGATTGGCAGAGGTTTCACAACAGGGCGGTGAGCGAAAGGTGCTGCAGGCTGAAGGGGAGCTGCTGGAGAACCATTTAGTAAGACCTCCAGCAGATCCTGCTGACCTGATTCACGAAGGCAGTCCAGGAAGAGCGGAAAGGCTCGACTTCCTCTGGTTTCTAAGTCAATCACCAGCTGTCTGGCCTGGTTCTGCTTGCCTCCAGAGCCCTGATTATAAACATAGTTGTCCTGAACACATTAAGTCAATCACAGAAGGACATCTATACAGTTATATCTTACCTTTATCTCATCAATCATCCCCTGGGTGAAAACACCCTTTTGAAAAAGGGCGTCATAAAGGCTGGAAGGATCCAGATCTCGAACTAAGATGATCCTGTTTTGCCGAAGAATCTTTCTGTGTTGTTCTTCCATTCTTCACTCAGCAATCTAATATCCAGGTAGTTAAATAGGATACAGAAAAAAAACGTCTCTTAATATGTATTTATCGTTTCAAAGCCAAACTATGAAATACCTTTCTGTAAAGTGAAACCTGTTACTCTGCAGGTAAGGCGTTTGCTCATATTTTCTGTTTCACCAGCTGCTTCCGTGTTTACATCATCGACGTCTCTGATTGGTCAAAGGAGGAAGAACAACGGTGTGCGTTTCATTTTCTTCACGGCGTGTCCCGTTTTAGTAACCAGCGTGCGGTAACGTCAGGGGACAATGCTTGAAGAGGGTGGGACCTAATAACGGTAGCCGGGCGGTGAAAGGAAACACTCTGAAAACCAAGAGAAAGGAGGGAGATTGGAATGGAAGCGGCTTTCTAGTGAGAGAAAGGACATAAAGTCCTTTATTTTATTTCATTTTTATTTATAAAACTGTTATAATCACAAATATAAAAAAAAAAAAGCGGATCTCTAGTGAGAGAAAGGGAATAAAGTCCTTTATTTTACTTGTATTTGTAAAATTGTTATAGTCAAAAGTATTCTAAAAAAAGATAATGAAGCGGATCTCTAGTGAGAAAAAGGGCATAAAGTCCTTTATTTATTTTTAATAGTAAAATTGTTATAATAAAATTAAATAAAATAAAATAAGCAGATCTGGGTGTGTCCGGAAGGGAGCAAATAAGCATAACTTATTTTTTTTCCACATTCGGACCTCACTTGGAGTTTAATGCAAACGATATAAAAAAAATTAATTATTAATTAATTAATAATTAAGATTATCAATAGTTGTAAGGAAAATAGATGTTTTTAACTAACCAAAACGGGTTTTAGCACACATAATTGATAACCATTATCACCATACTACTGATGTTAGGACTTACCTACTGACTGTTAGGGTGTTAGATTTATTAAAAATGAATTTTATATCAAATGGTTCTTGAAAAATATGGTAAACATCATCTGTCTTGTATCCCGTCTATGTTTTATCTGGGGGAACCAACCCTATCAATCAGGTTTGCCACTCACAATATGGCGGACGCGGTGACGCTTCAATACGCGCGCCTGTGTTTTTGTTGGGGTACTCAATTTCCCGTAGCGACCTTCTAGAAATAGCGCCCCCTCGTGGCCTTTCTCTGCTCTGTAGCAGGTTAGCCAGCTCCGGTGCTACGTTAGGATGCTGCGGAACACGCGCCGCACGTTTAGCCCTTTAACAGCGCGCGGTGGGTTCACATTGATACGAGGAGCTGCAGAGGATCCCAGTGTACCCTGAATATGTGGCGCTGTCACGGCTGACTGCATGGACCCGAGGTGACTGAAGCAAGCTGGGGAAGCTGCAGCCCCTGTGGTAAATAACCCTGAACAGACATAAAGCATTGATGCGTTTCTCTGCAAGGATTTCATTGAGGCTGCAGCCTAAACATATTAGGAGAAGCAGAATAAACACAGTCTGCTGATGCTTTTACTATTCCTGTAAGCCGCTGCACTGCAGGTTATCCTAATGGATCCTGTGATTGTTTATGTTACAGACTGAGCTGTGATGTGAGATACGAATATGGTGACAATGATAATAACATGTTGCAATCCAGGGAATTGTGTGACAAAGCTGACACTCCCATTAGGTTATCCTTTACTGAGAAATATTCACATGAAGGTATCTAACCTTCTTAGAATAGAAAATCCCTTTATTTTCCCAAAATGGGGGAATTCTGGTGTTTAGAGCAGCAAAAAGATTATAGAAAAAAATGGTGACACAAATGTGGACCTAAGAAATGTGTAAACGAATAATATACTATTGAAGAGTTAAAAGATAAACAGTAAAATACTGTTCTGTTAAGAATATATAAAAAACTGTTCACCTGGAGAATAAATAACCAATATACAGCTATGGACATTTTTACAGTAATCGATATTTGAAAATAGCAGCAACATCAGAGATGAAAGTGAAAGCAGCATGTTATTTAAAGTCGTAGGGAAGTCATGTTTAAATGTGAAATCATTCTGGCTTAAACATGTATATAAATGTACTCTTTATCAGAAAATTTCAATAAAAAAAAAAATCCTGTCTTAAAATCTGAAATGGGTTGCTGTTTGATTTGATTGTGTGGGAATGTTATCTGGTTTGTGTGTCTGAGAAGGGTTTTTGTGAAGGTGAGATGACGGGGCGGCGATTGGCTTTACAGATGGGAAACAATGATTTTAAGCATTTAAAAGATTTATATGTTATGATGGTGAAGATGATCAGCCATCCAGGTCATAGTCATTCTAAGAAAGTTAAAAAACAATCCACTGGACTTTGTTTTCAAGAGTGAAGACGTTTCGCTTCCCATCCAAGAAGCTTTTTCAGTTCGAAATGTCAGAAATAGCGTTGAGTTCAAACCTTTATAGAGTGGAAGAAAGTAAGCCTTGCTTCGGCTTTAGCCGGGCATACACTGCGCGATATATTTAATCGCTGAAGGCAGCTATAGCTCAAACTGTACGACGAGACCACAGGATTTAAAAATTCACAGCTCGCGATGCATGTTCTCACCCTGCTCTGCCCGACACTCGGATGCGACCTCACGCATTCAAAAGTTTTATTTGCTCCAGACCTTATGATTCCATATCGAGAGGTGGACGTGAGAGGCTGATGGTCCCTCGTTTCCCCCTGTATACTACACCAGTTTTTTCAACCCTGGTCCTTAAGGCACACTGCCCTGCATGTTTTAGATGTTTCCCTGCTTCAACACACCTGATTCAAATAATTGAAGTAAAAAAAAAAAAAAAGTTAATTTGCTATTAATTGATATCAGGTGTGTGACAGTCTGGAAACATCCAAGACATGCAGGGCAGTGTGCCTTGAGGACCAGGGTTTAAAAACACTGTACTACACGATGCACGATCAGGCTGATAGTCAGCTAGATCTAAAAATTCTTGCACGACTGGAAAATCCGCCTGAAAAGGACAAAAAATCGTACAGTGTATGCCAAGCTTTAGAAACATGCAAATTGAACCGGAAGAAAAGGTCCGCTCCTTAGGAATGGGGAGTTGTTTGGGTTGTTAGCCTAACAAAGGACTCCCCATTCCTAAGTGGCGGAAACGTTCTTCCTGTTCTTCCGGTTAAACTAAGCATTAACAAGACTTTACTTCGTTCCACTCTGTAAATCTTTGAACTCTATACTATTTCTGACATTTTTAACTGAAAAAGCTTCCTGGATGGGAGGCGAAACGTCTTCACACTTGGAAACAAAGTCCAGTGGATTGTTTTATTTTACTTTTGTGGAATGAGTTAATATGTTATTTAGTTTTGTTTGTGGTTTTGTTGTCTGATGTGTTTAGGGCGACGGATGTGGGGGTCAAACATGTCTCCATATCTGGCTGTGATGCTTCTGGTGGTCCTCTGTGTCCTACTGCCAGGATTAAGCCACGGAGGCTCTGAAATGGATCCGTACAAAATCTTAGGGGTAACCAGGCGGGCAAGCCAGGCAGAGATCAAGAAGGTCTACAAGCGTCTGGCTAAAGAATGGTGATTTTCTTTATCTAATACTTTTTCAGTTTCTCTACCTTCCTTTCTGTTCCTAACTAATGGGCTTGTCTTTCTTAAGGCATCCTGACAAAAACAAAGATCCAGGTGCCGAGGACATGTTTATCAAGATCATTAAATCTTATGAGGTTGGTCTATATTCCTTCTTTATTTTCTTTTTCTTCCAATAAGCCCAACGTTCAGTGGTTCTTTAGGCTTTTTGGATCCCCTTCAGCATCATTCTTGAACTCCAGCTAATTTTCCTAGCTCAATATCATTCATGCTGTGCAGTGTGTGCATTAAAAAACACCAACAAGCATTAAGAGAGACAAGTGAAGAGCAAAAAGAAACATGTTTTATGTTTTTGCCTTATGGAATTCGCGAAAGGAGAAATCTGGCAGATACCTAAAGAAGGTCTTTGAGGAAGCATTGTTCTACATTTGAGCTTTGAAAGTATGTGAAGTTTCCATCTAGTGGCTGGTTGGGTGGTATATATCTGTCAGCTTAGGTTGTGGTTTGAGCCATGGAGACACAAGAGGAAAACAAGCACGAGGAGCCAGGGAGAGATGAGGAGAGACGAGGAACCAGCACTGAGGAACTGCACAGGGAGAGTATTTAAGGTTGACAGAACAAAGGGAGGACTAACGAGCTGATTGGGAGCAGGTGTGAACTGAGGCTTCTAGAGAAAGAGCTAAGGAAAAGGAAACCAACACAAGAGGGCAGCAGAGGGCAACAAAGAAAAGCATAAGAACTCAAATACATCCAGAAAACACAACAAAATAGGAATTAAACCAATAAAACTAGAAAAAAATGGAAAACATGAATCCACATGAAACTTAAAAACTCAAAGAAAACTTAACAGAACCAAGACCGTAACAATATCAGAGATCACATATCAGATATTAATCAGATATCAATATCAGATCACACCTTCAGAGAAGGCCTCACAAAATCAGGAAAAATATTATTTACAATTACTGTAACATATGTATGAATCTATTACACTTTTTATTAGATGTAACAATTCAGTGATACAATTTAAACACTTTTAGCTCATCAACGTTATAAGGTTAAGTCAACTTTCAGGATGTTATTGTTAGGATTCTTTTTTATTGACGATGTATGAGTTTGTCAAACCCTATTCATATCTGCCTGTTAGATGTAAAAACTAATGTTTTCCCAAGCAGTTTATCTAATTAGGACAGTTCTCCTGTCAGGATATATAGTCCTTCCCCCACCAAACCTGTAGGGGGAGCTCTACATATAGCCCCTGGAATAGGGATGAAGAAGGATGCTAGCTCCTGTTAGCTTGTTGGCTCACAGTAACAACAGCTTCTACAGAAAGACATGACGGCTCTGTCACTACCCGGTCTGTGCTGGAAGCATGTCCGTCCTGCGCATGCACCATCAGCTCATTTGCGCATCCAGATATACATCCGGTTCAACCTCGATTTTATTTAGTTAAAAAGACCTAAATGACCTAGCCTGGGTGCCATTCCGAACTGAGGTCGGGAAGTT